TATTAGTGATATATATATCTAATTCTTATAGAGATAGATATTACTGCAATGATTTTGAGCAAAATAGTTTTTTTCATCACTTATATATAAGAATTTAAATTTTTGCTTCGGACACATAACAGTTCTTGTTAACCTAGTGATAGGTTATATGGATTATATTAAAGATTTAGGCCAGTTTATACTATAGTAGAATTCGAAAATTTCCGAAAAGAAAATCAACGAACATAAAATACGAGCAAGGTTGAGGAAATCTCCAATAACTTCCGAAGTTTAATCAAATAGAATTTAGAATAATTGACTCTGACTTAGCTGGCTAAGCCGATTTTTAAATATCGACTTAGTCAAGTCGATAAATAATGGTCGACTGCAAGCACTAGTTCTCCTATATCCTGTTACAGTCGAAATATTGCGGTTACCTCCGGTGTATGCATTTTTTGGTTGGCAGGTCTGTATAACGCGTCCTTGTAAATCCTTTGTTTTCTTTATATTTCCACTCATTTCTTACATTTTCTCTAGGCTCTCCCTTTCACATTTCTTTGCCTCGTTTGTAGCTATTATATTTTATATCTCTCAATTGTGATAATTAAAATTGATTTCACGTGTCATTATGTAACCTAATATTTTTCCCGCAATTCTTGAATGTGTCGTAAAATTTATTTTTGATTGAAAACTTCCACGATATGCTTCTTCAATCGTCCTGTATTTGAATGTTTTCTATTTTTTCTTATGTGAATTGAAGATATATAACAGAAACATGAATATAGTCGATTCTCTCTATACAGAACTAATTTAATTTTTAAAATTTTAGTTTGTTCATTATAAAAAGGCTCATTATAAAAAGAGTTAACCGTACTTAAAATATGTAAGAGTACATTACAGTAATAACAAAGCTTATAAAATTTAGTTTTAAAAGTGAAACCCCTTTAAGAATAAGAACACTACTATTATTCTTTTATTAAGCTATGTTTCAGTGTAGATTATAAGCAAAGTTTTTCATTTAAAGAATTTTTTTTTTATTAACTATATAGTACGTGTTTATTAACTAACATATTTGTGTTTATTATCAACTTTTAAGGTTAATATTTTTTTTTATACCGTATTATTAGAACTTTGACGAGTTGTCGTTATTCTGGTCCGTAAAAATTTTGAAAATTGTAACTTAGACATTATAAATGTAAAAGAATACGAATATATTTTTTTGAAACTAAAGGTTATGAAAGAGAAACAAAATAGCAAGAATAGAGGTCTGAATGGTATATTCGAATATTCTGAATTGAATAGAATATTCAATGAATATATACTATCTAATCGACCAATTAAATACAAGATTGGGTATACACTGATTGGTTAGCAATGCTAATAATCATGAGCCCAAAGTAGATGAATATTCTGGCAGATTGGTGGAATTGGACCTTTATTTAGATGCTCTGAATTTGAACTCTAAATTTACTTAACAACACTATCCATTTTATTAATCATAAATAAAAAATGTCATTCTCTGATATATTAACTGATATATCCGTTTAATTTGTTAATTTGCTATAATTATTACCCTTAAAATGATTAATTTAAGGTCTGATTAAAGGGCCAAATCCGCCAATCCGCAAGATAAATTCTTATTAGTTAGATCGATTTATTTATTTTTTGATGTAGCTTTCAATTATTCAATTTCATAATATTGTTCTTCATTATTGTTCCGAATTATTTCATGATCAATATTCAATGAATATTCAGTGAATAATTTGAAATTTGCTGATGAATATTCGGATATTAAAAAGATTGAGCGAATGAATATTCGAATACTTATTTTTCGACCGGATCAGACCTCTAAGCAAGAACATTTGATTCGAGTAGAATAACGGCAAAACTTATAATTTTATTGTTATATAGGATTTACCGGTTTTAATAATTCGAGTTTATCAAAAATTTAATTGGATAAATTAATATGATAGGTGATATTCTAGAATTTATCAGAATTTAATTGGATAAATTGATGTAATTATTAAACCGGCTCCGACCTCTAATTAGAATTATTTTAATTGACTGATTAATGCGTCACTAACCTGGCACAAAGTACCCTAGCCTGAGGTGTCGGGTCATGTGATTTCCGACGCATCGAATGATCACCAACCAATCAAAATCTAGGATCTGGTGTAACGCCTTTCCTAACCCTAAATATATCTTTATTCCCTTTATTCTTCGATTGTTTTGATTTTTAGATATCAGACCGGATGGTTCAGAAATCACATGATCCGACACCAGGGTTTTACCCGGCACATATTCAAGAATTGCGTTTTTCACAGTTCGTTCAATAAATTTATCAAACGAAGAGTAAGTGTGATGTTATCTGGCCATTTTAGTTAACAGAGGAATACTCATTTCCATGTTATATTTTACCGAATACTCTAACTCTCCATCTACTCATGAGGCACTTCAAACTATTTTTTCAAAAGCTTCTAATGAGCAAATTTTGAAGTACAAGAGACAACTTGCAAATATAAAAATTCTTGATCCAGTTCTTATAATTGTTCCGAATCAGAATTGGATCAATTTACATGGTTGGCCCACATATTACAATATTATGGATAGTTTTGCGACAAATGGCCTTCGGAATGAGCGTTGACAAATCCCTTATTTTTTATATTACTAAACCTCTAAATTAGGAGTTAAACAAAGTTTCAATTTCAAACGGCCTTATCAATTCTCAATCGATAAGTAGAGATGAAAATTCACGTGCCATTTTTCACTTTACCACTAATACCGAGCTTTATACGATGCGAAGCAACATTGAAAATCTTTTCCCTAATGCCTTCATGGTTCCACCCTCCCTTCAAGCTTCAGTCCCTAATCCTCGATTACATCCAATTGGTGAGGCCTGGATATTAACAAATGTAGCGAAACGTAAAAGTGACTTTGGAGAAGTTTCTTTCTAATTGATAAGAACTTATCATTTATTATTTTTTTAGTCAACCATATATTATGTAATAAGTTTTTATTATATGTCGCGGATGATCGCGAAATCCGGATCATCATGAAATTCCAATTTTTAAATTTTTTGGGGTATATTTTTTTAGGCTTTTTTTTTGAATCCGGACTAGTATTTAGGGTTAGGGTTTATAATAAAGGAGTATAAGTAGGTTTTGTTATGGTTATGAGGGCTAAATTAAGGTTCTAATCCGCGACATTATATAATTTTCTGCCATCAATAAACATAATCGTAATCCAGAGTTGTACATAATAATTTGAACACTTGTTCTTATGACAAGGTTACAGCTGTTTTCGAAATAGTTGAGAATAGTCGAATTTACAAAAACAAAAAAAATTTTGTAAATACTCGAATACTCGAATACTTGATTAGTTTAGAACATTTTGATTTCCGATTTATATCTACTACGTAATTGTTACAATACATGCTAATTATGTTCTTAAAAATTCGATCTAACAAGTGATACATATCTGGATATTCGGATAAACAATCACGTATCGTTATATAGTCAAACAAAGAGCTTAATATCATATTAGATATCTGTGTCCATCGTTAATCATTACTGTTATCATCCGTTATTACTTATTTAAATTCCTAATTGTGAACTTCAATGATGTAATTTTATTTTTATTAATTTAGTTGATATAAAGACTAGGACTCTAGCATCGCAACCCAAAAAATTTTACTATTAATTTAGTGTTGGGTTTATATGTTTTGTTTTGCTTTTATGTTACACCTGGTCTCGAATTTTCGATTTGATCAGGTAGCGAATGGTTTGTAAAGACTTATTGTATCTTAAAATCTTTATTTGTACTAATCCAAATGATAAATATAGATAGATATATATTAGTTATTAAATTCATATTAGCATTATGCTTTTTTATTTACATTAAATTAGTTGGTATAAAGATCGCTATATCCATTCATTTATTTAAATAAGTATAAATGCGATATTTACTATTATCTTCTTTTCATTTATTAGTGGGTAAGTTATACCGTATATTTATCACAATAATCTGATTTCATTATGATCTGCGAATCTTCCAGCAATCATTTTTGTGATTATTGTTAGAATTGTGATATGCATTTTCTAGATGTATATTTGTAGAATTCATAACGTTAAATAACAATAATCTAAGCTTTCTTAGCTCTGTCCTGTTTATTTCTTGATTCCCTTAAGTGTTTGCTTTGGTTATTTTGTTCTTTGGATTCTGAAAAACGTTGTAACATACTTTTCTAATATGGCAACTAATGGTGATATGGGATCTAAAGAAACTTTTCAGGTATTTTTCTAACATTATACAAAAAATAACTAGTCAAAAAATATCATTAATATTTAGATTTGAAAATGGATCATCAATGAATAGCTCGATTCTATGCAATCCAAATTTGATGAGGTATATAACTTAAAAAATGTCCGGTATGATGCTGAAATTTGAACTTATTTTTAATAAGAAATTTTAAAACTTTTTTGGTGTGTTTTTTTAGATTTTTTTTATGGTTGGATTAGGATAGGGTTTATAATTAAAGAGTTATATGTGGGTTTTAGTAGAATTTATATTTTTAAATAGAGACCCTAAATTTCGGCATCATCTGATTTCAGCATCATCCCCGACAAAAAAATAATGAAAACGAAATGGTTTTGGCTAATGGTCTTATGTTTAAAGATTCGTGATAAAATTGAACAAGAACTGCAGGGACAAGATACAGGCATTATTAAAATCAAATTTCCTGTTAAAGAACTTAAAGAACTTAGCGATCTTAACGTACGGGAAAAAATCCACAATGCCTTCAATGCCGAAAGAATTGGATTTGATCTATTCATCAAAGTGAGTTT